TCTTAGTAGAATTTGCCTTTTTGCTACCCGAATACCCTGCCATTCTCGTCAGTTAGTTTCGGTAACAATTAGAACTCAAATATCAAATTTTAAGAAATTCCCATCAATTCGTTCCGTAGATATGGTAAAAAATGTAAAATCGGTCCTCAGATCAGTTTCCGAGTCCTGATCTTTCCAAAACATTTGTAGATTCAGATATTTCTCTTTATATAGGCAAAAATGTATATTTGGCCCGTAGTAAACGTCCAGTAGCTGACGCCTGATTTGTTAGGAGATTTCGTGGACTGTCGAGCGAAGCTTATATATGAAATTTCAAGTAAATCTGTTGAGCATTTTCTTCAAAATTATCAAAAATGTAAACCAGGCCCGCTAAAAAGTGCGATTCCCGAGGTCTGATATATCCCAAAAGTTGATCAATTCGTCCCTTAGTCGAAATAAACTTGACGTACATAAAAAATTTCATCAAAGTCGGTTCAGCCGAACTTGAGACACAGGCGTACACACACAGACCGACAGGTTGTTAAAAATAATTTATTTTCATTTCCTTACGAACCGAAAACTCGATATGCAAAATTTGTTGTAATCACATAACCTGCCCATTGTATGCACAAAGATTGGACCTTGACATTACCAAAAATCAAGATTTCGAACCTGCTTTTTTTTGAGAATGTATTTGTTAAATTGCATATGAATTTTTGCATAAACTCCTACAATGTACAAGACATCTTAATATTTTTGCATATGTGTGTTTACAAGAAACAAAGTTTCTTTTATAAGAGAAAAAACTATTCATTTCTTTAGTACATATATAAACTTCGTACGGGAAGGCTATAGGGGATATAGCGGCAAAATAATTTTAATTGTTAAAATTTAATTTTAATTTAAATTTAGTAAATAATTATATTTATTATTTGTATTATTAAATAAAATGAAGATTTATAATTCATATTAATTAAATTTTGTCTTTTGTTCATAATATTTAGTATAAAATAGAGGTGAATTTGATAAAATGACTTAATAAATTAGTAAAATTTGGTATACTTTTTAAAGTTTCTATTCATCACGTTCATATAAATAGGTGTTGCGTCATATAAATACCCCGAGGGTGGGTGTTGCATCGAAGGATGCAGAAGCAATAGTCTACGAGAAAAGGAGAACGTAAGTGCTATCTTTACATTCTTTGCTAAAGAACAAGGTTATCAAGGATAAATGGATACAAGCATTATGAAAAAGGAATTTGACACTAACGAATTATTTTTAATTTGCAAGAACTTTAAATTTTATTGTATTGCCTGTAATTATAATTTAATCTACTACCTACTAAGGTTAAGATTTTAACAATTTAAGTAGGTATCAAAGCATCAAATTCCAAAAAGTTTAGTAAAAGCTCTTGACATTGTACGCTTTTCATAAATGCGTTTTCTACGTAGTGGACACGTAAAATAAATGTAAATCGGGTATCGAAAAAATCGAGCACTCTTTTCTTATACCTTGCCATATAAATGTTGCCATAAATAACCAATTAAATAAATTTGTATTTATTTTCAGCAATAAAGTGCTAATTATTAAGTTTTTTTCCTAAAATACAGCATAAAAATGCAATGTTTTTAATGACTTGGTAACGTTTGTTAAAAATTAACATTTGCACAGAACTTTAAATTGAACTTTTCAAACAAACGCCAAAGTATGTAATAATATTGTAAAAATTGTATTCCAAAATGTATCAAAAGCTATAGCAGTTTTTTTGTACAATCTAAAGGTATTGAAAGCTCTGAGATGGTAATACAATCGTATTAATACCGTACTTAAACTTTTTATAAGGCGTTATTGAAGTCACGGTATATTTCTAAACAAAAAGTATAATAACCAACTTTGAAGATACCGTATGTAAAAAATAAGTAAATTGTATATTACGGAGTCTTGAGAATAAAGATGTTTGTGGTATTACGGAGTCTTGAGAATATGGCTTTGATTTTGAACGAAACATTTCTGAAGAAGAATTTATTTTGTTGTTTTTTTTTTGGAAAAATTATGATTTTTACCTATTTTCATTTCAAGTTTTCTATACGAAAAGTTAACTAAAACTTAAGAATTTTTATACTAAAATGAAATTTATAGTTTTTGGAACGACATGTCAAAAATTTAAATTTCCACTAAAAAATTTAACTATGATTTTAAGTTTATAATTATTTCAAATTTTATAATGATTATAAAAAATGTTTCGTTTTAAGTTGCCTCCTATATAAAAACAAACATAATAAAAATATTATAAAGAAACTTGTATAAGTCTATATTAAGCAATGTGAAAATATTTCCTAATAAAAAGGACTCCCTTAAAAACAATTATATGGACTTTTAACATAACTAGAAAGAATAGGGTTGACCGTGTCAACTCTATGATATCCGTACGAATTTATTATCCCATGTGTGAATAAATATGCCATAGCTGACTATGGGACAGACTATGACTTTAAGTGGCCGTGTTACCATATTAATTTGTGCAAAATTCAGTGCTGTGTTTTCTGTATTTTCTAAGATATGACCAAATTACTATTGAAGTTATGTGGCTGCTATCACAACGAGTCAAGAAATTTCAATGATTTTTATCACATATAAGAGCGCTAATAATATACTTGTTTTCACAAAATTTCTGTATTATAATTCCAATAATTTCTGAGATAGTGCCAAATAACTTTTGGAATTGTATGGCTGCTACAGAGGCAAGCAATTTCAACGACATTTATCAAACACATTGGCCCTTCTAATATATTTACTTGTACGAAATTTCAATACCAAAACTTCTATTGTTTCCAAGATATAGTCAAATAAATTTTGAAGGTGTATGGCAGCTACCCGAACCAGTACCCCAATCAAGTCCAATTTAAATAGTGTCCTGGGACTTGCTACAACAAATTATTTGTGAAAATTTTGTGAACGTAGCTGAATTAGTTTTTGAATTAACGCTAGGACGGAAAGGCAGGCGGACTGACGGACAAAGCTAAATCGACTCAGAATTCGACGCTGATCAAAAACATATACTTGAGTTATTTCTTAGTGGTACAAACGGTAAGTCAAATTTAGTTTACCTTTCGAACATACGTTCGTACAGGCATAAAAAAATTCACATATGCAAAAATTTTTATGAATTAAGAAGCATATAAATTTAATTAATATAGTATTCACATGAAAAATATATAGATATGTATATGTAATATATGTATATAGAAGTATGCATTGTGGGAGACATTTCGTGCATAATTTGTTCAACGTTTTGTACGTAGTAGACACGTAAAATAAAAGTAAATCGGGTATCGAAACATTCGAGCACGCGTTTTTTATACCTTGTCATATAAATGTTTCCAGAAACAACCGATAAAATAAACTAGCATGTATTTTCAGCAATTAAGCTCTAGTTATCAATTTTTTTTCCTAAAATGCAGCATAAAAATGCTATGTTTGTAATGATGTGGTAACGTTTTTTAAAAATGGACATTTGAACAGAATTTTAAATTAAAATTTTTAAATAAACGTCAAAGTTTTATTGCTGTGGTAAAAATTGTAATCCAAAATGTACGAAAAGCTTTAGAAGTTTTTTTTACAATGTAAAGGTATTGAAAGCTCTGAGACGGTACTACAACCGTATTAATACCGTACTTAACCATTTTTGAAGTAACGGGAAACCTCAAAATGCCGTGTAAAAGATGACTTTTTAAAAAGAAAAATCATTTTCTAAAGATTTCTAAATTTTCATCGATAATTAACCGATTTTCTTGATTTTTTCTGTGTTTCTTTGAAGAATTATAGTAGTTATTGAAATAAAGTAAACAATATAATGAACACAATATTTTATTTAAAAAACATGAAATAAAAAAAATAACAATTGTATTTTCCTGAACATTCGGTGTGCATCCCTTCCTTACACTATCCTTGTGACTACAGACCACACAGCGACACATCATCACTTTGGTCAGTATAATCATCACTCGAACTATCACAAGTTTCGGGCGAGAAATTTCGCGAAGTATTTGATCGCGACATTTCACGTATCAGAATCGTTGAATATCAATAAAATAAAATATTATTTGCAAAAAAATATCTACTTCAAAGAATAACACGAGTTAGGTTTACAAAGTGAAGAAAAAACACGGCTGGTAATTGCGCACTGTACGCGGTAGCGTGTTTGGGAAGTGACGCCTGCGTAATCGACGATTATTCACGATCGGCACTTTTCGGAAACATTCGATTCGACGAAAACCGATGATCGGCACTCTAACGGTTAAACAACTACACATTGTATTAGTAATTCAGTATATTGAATTTTAACTTTTTCTAATTAAAAATATGAAAAAAGTTGATTTTGTGGGAGATTCATGATGTTAAAAAGGGCCCTCTATTTGGCGTATTCCAATTAATAATAATTAGATTATATATTTCCTGCTCAACGTACGCGTTGATAAAGTATTGATACATTGCAAAAATAACATTAAGTGATTTTTCTTGAAAAACAAATTTTGTTCTCTGTTACTGCTGTTTTAACAAATTTCAAATTTTTCTATATTAATGCCGTCACATCTTTGGGAATAACAAAGATTAAAAATTTCTAAGAACAGTTTCTTTGAAATCATGTGTTCGCTGCACTTTGCGCTGAAATATTTTGTAAAATATAAGTTATTAATTTCATTAATAGATTTTTAAAAAGAGAATCTGCCTACCAGGCTGGATCCACTTGTCATATGGATGCATTCTACCATAATGCTTTAATGACACCAAGTGGGACACTACATATAATTATATGTACTGTCATAGTATTAATTCTCTGCCAAGTACTTTAATTCTTGAAGACACTTTTTCTTTCCTAGTTGATAACAGCTGTATGCTAATAAATATTCCTTGAATAATAAAATTTTAATTATACTTTTTCTTAAACTATAATTAGACACATATTTTATATGATCAAAACTGCTTGTGAAAAACACTAATAATATATAATAATATTTCAGATGCTTTTTATGCTTTTGTTCAGTAGACAAGGCAAGTTAAGGTTGCAAAAATGGTATGTTGCTCATCCAGACAAAGTAAAAAAAAAAATTACACGTGAACTTATAACAACAATTTTGGCTCGAAAACCGAAGATGTGTTCATTTCTGGAGTGGAAAGATGCAAAAATTGTCTACAAGCGGTAATGTATTTTTTCAAACAATAATTTTTGTTAATGATTGCTGCTAATGCGAATCTCTATTTACGACTAACAAGTGGTAACATAATGGGTATCATCGGAAAGCAATCACAAATGCGCATCATTGCAGCGTCGATGCAAGAAATAGTTGACAATGTTGTACCGATGCGACGCTTTTACCTTGGTGATGCAATATTATTTGACATTTTTGGGCACTTTCTAAATCACATGTTTTTTTAGCGTTTATTTTGAAAAGGTTTTGTGTAAAAGTTTTAAAATTATTGACAACTGAAAATTTATTAAAATTTTTTTTTTAATTTCAACTAAGTTTTGGAGATTTTAATATAATGGAACATTTAAAAATATTAAGATCGTGCATAAAGAAATAATTAACTTTCTAATAACTAATAAATAGTTAAAATAATAAATTATTTACTTCTCAGCTTCCATTTAAAAAACATTGCATCAATAAAAAATCACAAAAAAATTAATGCACAGCTAATTTATTATGATGCACGCACGACGCGTATTTTTGACATTTTTGAACACCAAACCTTAAAGTATTACCGTATTAATGCATTTTCGTACATGATTTTTATTTGATTACACGTCGATGCTTTACTGATTACATTCCGATTATTTCCAATATTAGTTAAAGAAACTTTTGACATTCAATATGCTATTATGCATATCATGCCCGATCTTGTTTATATCTAATAAATGCTCGAGTTATACACATAAAGTAGCTTAAATGTACAAAGTTCTTACTTTCAGCATATTTAAAATTTAAATTATAATTTAGTTTTTATACATCAAAGAAGGCTTATACGAATAAGTGAACATTTGTATGTACAAATATGTACATATTTGCAAATGTTGTTAGGTTTTTAAGCTGAAATGCGTGACAAATGTACTTTCGTATCAATATTTAAAAAAAAAAACACTTTTTAATTTTATTCAAACAAAAGACACTTTTATTAAAATTCAATTTGATTAAAAAATCAACCTTTATTGTTAAACCATTAACTATGACTGAATTTACAATTAAGTACTTATAACTAAGTTTTATTATTTTAATGTAAAATTGCTGATATCGACAAAACGTGTCTACATTTGGATTGTACCGTTTTGTTGATATCAGACATAAAATTTTGTAATTAGGTTGTCTGCATTCTTTTGTTATATTATGAGAACTTTTTTTTTTTAATTTAAAATTTTAAATAACAGGAAGTGTCTCATCACCTTTAACAACGGTGTTATACGTAAAACGTGCAGAAAACTGTTGTTTTCGCTTGCAAAATTTACATACTCTGTTCGATGTGAAATTTTCAATAAAATGGTTCGATCTAAGGCAATTGAAACATAGCTTCCTTTCCTTTATCTTATTTTTTCATTCCCTTAACTGAAAGAACCAAACGAAATTCGCATTTAAAAATAGGATGATCTGCAGCACATCCACAATCCCTTGTCGATGTTGCACTTTTGAAGTGATTCTGATATTTAATTAGTCTTTGTTGTTTGTCTGTTGATTTACATAAAGATGAAACCTCATAAATTCTGTTATTGATAAACTCCTGAATATTGGATGATGTCTGTTTCTAATTTTTTAGAACATTTCCGCCGCCATAACTATGTTAACTCAGGATCTAATTTAATCGTCAAAATGCTTTCAAAGCACGAATTGATGTTGTTCATTAATGTTGCTGCTGAGTATTCTAAAACTATCTGCTGATGGATGTGTTAATTTCTACTGTTGAAATATTTTCTCCAAATGAGAATTTATAATTTCTTGCTTTCTATTGAATGTATTTACCAATTCATCGAATGCTTGACTGTAGTTGGCATCAGTACTTTGTTAAGTACTAAACTAGCAAATAAATAAAAAAATTTAGACCAATCTCGATAATTGCCGTTAAATGATGAAAGTTCAATTGGTTGAAGTCTTATTTCACCTCTGTAATTTAATTTTATATCAATGCTTGAACGTAAAGTTGGAGCACTGGAATCCCCTTCCACTTCTAATAATTCTGTTAATGTTACTTAATTTTTTACAAAGTTTGAAGCACATCATTCAAATCATTGTTAATCTTTGATTCGTGTTGGGTCTCAAACGCACTCATAATTTGCTTAATTAATAAATATGTTTTATAATATTTTTTTCAACTATTTTCCGTTCATCCTATTCTGCTGTTACATCACCACATTCATCATGTACCTCTATTTGCATTTGTGTCTCAATTGTTTAAAAAAAATCTTGCGTTTCAATAAAATCTATAAAGCGTGTAATTCGTGACTTAATGCTGCTGCGTTTCTTTTTTGGTTGATCCTTCATTATTTATGTGATAAAATTGGAAATCTGTAACGTGAAATTGAAATATTACTTACTTATACTTATTTAAATTTTGTACTAGACTGTTTTAAAATAAAGTTTAAATTTGTGCCCACCAGAATACAAGTATGTACATAGGAAGTATATAACTCGTACGTACGCCAAATTACTAAACTTGTACGTAAAGTGAATGAAAATATTATTAGTTTTTTTGTAATGTAATTCACTTTTATGAAAATGCAAAATTTGATTTCAAAACAACATGTTTCATATATTTTTACGGTACTGTATGTTTCAATGTGTTGTGGGCACAGGAACCTAAATAACTGTTTAATTTTTTTTAAAATGCTACAGACTATAATACGAAAATTTGATTGTTTTTAAATGTGTTCACAAATTGCATATGTACCTTTGTATTTCAAAAAATCAAGGCCTGGACCCTGATTTTTTGTGAATATATTTGTTAAAATGCATATATATTTTTGGCATTTCTGAAGAATTTTTTTTTTGGTTGCTTTTTGGAAAAATTTTGATTTTTGCCTATTTTCATTTCGAGTTTTCTATACGAAAAGTTGACTAAAACCTAAAAATTTTATATTAAAATGATTTAGAGTTTTCTGAACAACATGTCAAAAATTAAAATTTCGACTCAAAATTTTAACTATATATTTGATTAAATATATTTTCGAGTTTTTTCCGCCAGGCGACGTATGTGAGCGAAAAAAATTTGGTGCTATATTTATAAACGGCTTGAAATGAAGTTAATAAAAATTTTATTAGAATTAAATTTAGAATTTAAGTTTATAATTATTTGATTTTAAGTTTTATAATTATTATAGTGCTTTTAAAATTTTATAATCATTTTAGAAATTGCGGCGCTTTTAGTTGTCTCCTATGTAAACACAAACATAATAAAAATATTATAAAGAAACTTGTATAAGTTTTAAAGTGACTGGGGCGGTAGATAAGGTAAATCAGTCAATTAGCCTTACTAACAATGTAAAAATATTTCCTAATAAAACTGAAATCACATACATACTTACCTAAAAAAAATTATATGGACCTTTAATATGAAAAGAATTCACATATGCAATAATTTTTATGAATTATGAAGCATATAAATTTAATTAATAGTTGACAATAATGTGTAGACTACGCATGAAAAATATAGATATATGTGATATAAGTGTGCATTTTGGTAGACATATCATGCAAAATTAGCAAACTTGTTATTGTCAAAATTTTCCCACATTTTAACAAATACATCACAATCAACTTAATGCTTCGAAAAAAAAACTACATATACTTTTTTTTTTCTTGTAGTATATCATTTATTGAAATCTTACAAAAATTAACAGAACCTGGAAGGTTTTTTTAAATAAATTTTTTAATGTTTTAATAATACAAAACTTTGTATTATTAATGTAAGCGTATAGCAACTTTGTATTATGAATGTAAGCATTAGTAAAGTAGAAAAAGATTGAATTTTAACTTTTTCTAACTAAAAATTTGAAGAAAATTGATCTGTGGGAGATTTATGATGTTAAAAAGGGCCCTCTATAGATTCCATAAGAATACGTGTTAATACGTCAGCCGTTAACTGTCACTCTCTCTTAGGGTCCAGGCTTGTATTTCTGTCAGCCGTGATATGTACGCAACACTCCATTTATTTCTGCTCTTTTTTATACACCTATACTTTACTACCATCTTATTGTACCCACGCATGAACTTGTAAATTTGAATATTTGAATAAACGGTAAATTTTGAAATTGATGCTTAGAATATGCTAGCCAGTATGATGCTATCACAATTTAATTTTTTGTTATTAATTTTTAATAATTTTATGATTCTAAATTTCAAAAATTATAAACTGTTACTAAGTTTAATGTAATATCATCATTAACAACATTAAACTTAGTAATAATTTAATGTTACAAATAAAATTTAATTGTTAGAATAAAATTAAAAGTAAACTGTATACTAACTTTAATGTTAATTTTACCATGGTTTCACTTGATAGACTATTATTAGCTGCATTATATTAACTGGCCGATCCGGTTCAATTGGGCCAAAAAATGTTTCTGTTTTCTTAAAAAAGTGAACTGTGTAAAGTTATTTAAGTGTTTCTTGTCAATTGTAAAATAATACACGAATTGTTGTGAACGAAATGATAATTAAAACTTGACATATGTTGAAGACTATTGACAATTTTACTCCATGAATAGTGAGCGAAAATGTGAATTACTATGATACGTTATACATATGTCAAAATGTAAATGCAAATTAAAATCTATGAAACAGTAATATTATTTATTTGATAACTGGAGTGACTTGCGAGTTTACAGTTGAATTGTCATTGATGCTTCTTCATCTATTCCTCCTTAATACCATTATTTGTGGCATCTTGGTAGTCTAGGTCACCCACCTCATCGTAAGGAATTATAACTGCTCTATTATTATTGCTAATAATAACAGGTCAGAGGAAAAGAATTTATGTATTTCGAATTGGCATCTTAAAATTTTAGCAGATTTTGTATGATAGCAAACTTTTGATATACCTGAACATATCTTTAAGTTTTTCAGGAATATATTTGTTAAAGATTGTTTTGACAATGTGAGTTATAAATTTGCACTACGATTTTTATTTGTGAGATTACATATTTTAAAATTTAGT